CTGTGATTATAAATTTGATTATACCACCTTAAAGGAGAAGTTCGGTTTTTTACACTTTAAGCCCATTTTCTGTAGTGTCCAGGATGAAATCGAATGATCGACACCAAAAGTTTGACAATTGGTCCTGTCTCTGCTTTTTGGCTCATTTAGAATCCCCCCCTGGCTGCTTTAGAATGGCTAGCATAGAGCATGTCCGATAATGTCCTTAAAACAACCTTAAACGTTCTTTTTTTAAAATATGCTACTCACCGTGTCGTCAGCGCTGTTCAATGACGTTCCAAAAAAAGTTTCGTGAAGAAAAAACGTTCCTGTAGTGTTTTATTTAGCATTTTGTAAATCCCATTGAGTTCTGTAGGAATAGTCAATATTCCGCTGCCACCGGAAACGGAAATGGGGCCTGTTTACACAGTTGTAGTCTTTTCGCTTCACTCTGTGTACTCCGACGTCGAGAATCAAGAATCCACCTTTCGTATTCCATTTTCAGAGTTTTTAAAAGTGTTTAACAGAGACGTTAGCACCTCGACGTCGGAGTACACAGAGTGAAGCGAAAAGACTACAACTGTGTAAACAGGCCCCATTTCCGTTTCCGGTGGCAGCGGAATATTGACTATTCCTACAGAACTCAATGGGATTTACAAAATGCTAAATAAAACACTACAGGAACGTTTTTTCTTTACGAAACTTTTTTTGGAACGTCATTGAACAGCGCTGACGACACGGTGAGTAGCATATTTTAAAAAAAGAACGTTTAAGGTTGTTTTAAGGACATTATCGGACATGCTCTATGCTAGCCATTCTAAAGCAGCCAGGGGGGGATTCTGCATGAGCCAAAAAGCAGAGACAGGAGCAATTGTCAAACTTTTGGTGTCGATCATTCGATTTCATCCTGGACACTACAGAAAATGGGCTTAAAGTGTAAAAAATCGAACTTCTCCTTTAAGCATTTTTGCACCTTTTTGAATTTAAGGGGATTTAAGTAAAGCAACTGCATACAAATTTGCACAACATTCTGGAGATTTTTTATTTAAACAAACAATGAAATCAATTAGTTCTTCTCCTTTCCAGTCCAACTAAAAACGTGCTCTGATCATTATTGGTCTTTTACAAAATAATCAATTTCTGGTAATAATCTGACACAAAGTTTGAAGGGTGTGAATACTTTTTGGGTCTATTTAAAGCTGTTTCCACGCTGAAACTAAATTGAATTCATTTTGCGAGTGTTGGAGTGCACAACTGCCCACATCATCATCATCATCATCGCCATCATCCCATAAAATTGGGTATCTTATCTAGAAGTGGACAGTTGAGCTTTATAGGACATATGCTGCAATCAAGAGGAGCAATAAATGTTATAATTCCTCTTTGTTAATCAGAAAAGGGGGAGGCTAAGGAAAGCACGCGCTGTGCCTGTGATGTTTGCTGTGTGTGCATGTGTTTGTCGATGGGTGAGAGAATGGGAGAGAGAAAACACGCTTCTCCACCAGTTACTGGGGCGGGGGAGAGAGCTGGAAGCAGCAAACTGAGTGGGTCTCTCTGTAACGTTAAATCACAAATCAAAAAGTGCATGCGTCTGAAATGAATTAAAGGAAGCAAAGGAACTAATAATCCCTCCATTCCCCACTTGCCATTAAACGCTGTACCCGCCGGGGGGGAAAGCATCATTGGAAACAAGAAAGATGGACTAATAAGCACCCTGATCCTGCAAATATTAGAACTGTATGACGCTCAGCAGCTGACATGTCGGCCGATCAGTGGCTGCAGCTCCATGTCTGGATGTGAGGAGGAAAGACCATCCGGTGAGGAGCGCACGTGCGCGCACGCGCAACACTACATCCCTATGGGAATCTTGTTGGATGTATAACTGAGGCATCTTCTGCCCACCCTTTTATTAATTTAACGACACGAGCATTATGGTTTCATTTCAACGTGAATTCTGATTGACTGGTCGGCATTGACTAGTCAACCTGCATAAGACACAAATATCAACAACCCCCATAGAGGCAGTGACAAAACAAACTGGGTGGTGTAATTGCCAAGCTCCCAGTGGCAAAGAGCTTAGTTGCAGCCATGATTAATTACAAGCAACACATTCTACTAGGCCGTTATATGGAGGCATCTTATGATGATCTGATGAAGCCCCCCCACCCTCCCTTAAATAAAACCCATCACCTCATCAGCTGTATGGAAACGGGCGCGTGGCCCAAATAAATCGTGTTGTCTATTTGTTGGCAACACACCTGTCAATCCCGATCGCGGACAAAAGCTTTAAGCCTTTCAGTTAGTCTAACGTGAGCCTAGACTCCCTCCAGTAGATCCACATACATACATTGAAAGGCTTTCCGCGGTAGATAAATATCATGGAGTCTCACATGCATCCATCCGTACGTGCACATTTATCTTCTGCGCCTTTTCTGCGTATCCTCGCTTCTCCCACCCCCCCTTCTCTTCCCTGTCAACGGAAACTGGGTTGCGATGGGGCGGTGTGAAGTTGCATCCTTACCACAGTCATCGCGGGGAGCCTGGACGGTCCATGTTTATTGGAATAAAAAAAATCCCTTATACGTCCATTTAGGTTTTAGCCCCCCTTTCCAAAAGGACCCTTTACGTTGCTTTCCCCCCACATGTAAAGAGGGAGGGAAGAGGGGGTGGAGGGCGCAGGCAGGGAGAGACGATCCGCCACCTTACCACACAGACTCCCCCTCAGCCGGATTGGAAGGTAATGGGTCTTAAAGAAACATTCTCTCAGCATTCTCCGCATCTCTGTGATTTACGCGCGCGCGACACGCTCTCGCCCCGCTCGCGCGCGATCATTGGCCAATCAACCAGCTGATTAAATATACAGCGGGTATATTTCTCATTAACTGATATAGCATAAATTGTTTTCAATCTGCACTTAAGGAAAAAAAGAAGAAAATTTGATCAAATTTGGTAAATTAAGTAAAAATATGTAATAAGATCTACAGTATATTTTAATTAGCAAAACATTAAAGTATCAACCGACGTTATTTCTTATTATTTAATTAATGCTGTATTAGTCTGGACAAAGTTCCGTTGGCATTTTCCGAAACGGTCCTGCCACAAATTATCATTTGGATGGAGATCTAGACTGTCTGGACTTTGACTAGGCCACTGCCACTCTAACATGTGGATCATATTAATTACATTAAGCTATATACCTAAAAAGGAACCCCTTTAAAATTCTGGCTTTGGTCAAATTTCAGCACATTTTCCAGTCAGAATTGCTCTATATTCTGGTAAATTCACCTTCTAATGAAATCTAATATGCTTGTTTCTGCTAAAGATAAACACACAGCCTCATCAGGCTACTACCTTCACCATGTCTAAGTGTGAAAATGCTCTGCTCATTTTACATGTTCTGCATCTCAGTGATTAATGGCCTGTAAACCTACTGACACTACTTCACTCATTGGCCTGTTGAACACTTGGCTAATTGTAGATGATGCACATTTATCACTTGACCCATGATGCAATTGACTTGACATTTTTGTTTTTTGCTCTAATTTCAAGAGTGTGTAGTTTCAATTTATTTCTATAAAAAATACAACTCCAAATGTTTCTTTTCAATGTTATAAGAAGAAAAAGCCAACAATACATTCCAGAAAACAAATGCAAGATACAACATAAGGGTACTCTTGCATTAACAGCAATAGTGCCAATTCACTCCAGTGGAAGCCCTCCCTCAGTATATATTAGCAGTGGATGGTTCCACAACTGTACAATTCCTAAATCATTCTAAAAAAGAAAAGATAAATTTGCAAAAACTAAAACTATTTTGATATGATCAACATTTATGCTTTTGTTTGATTAAATACATTTTATTGCTGCAATATTCTGTGACAGAGCATCCAGCCGACTACTATTGTCTGATCGGGACCATGATGACTTTGTTTTTATCTTTGTAAAGATAAAAAGATTAAAAAATAATAATACATAATCGGAGTACGAGAAAAAGATGGCATGCAACTTTACCATTTGTTTTAATAAATGTTTTTTTTTTTTTTACAAAAAAGTCTGAAAGAATCAGCTTTTGCAAATTTCATATTGATGCCTTGAAATATTAAACAAACCCTCAACTATTAGCAGATACATTTGCAGTGTTTATGACAACATGTGGCAGAAAAAGAATCTCATTTGCATGTGTGCTACAGCTATGCCATGCATAAATCTGCCAAATGTTATTTTGAGGAATATGACGAAATGCGCTTAAGGTTTATTAAAAATGGAATATAAAAGACCAATCCAGACCTTCAGTTTTGCGTCACACTGAAAGCTGTGAATCAAACCCCTTTGGTGTTGTGTTTTAAAACCCCTCCTGGGCAATAAGCCATATGACCTATACCAAAAGCTACTACTTCGGTCTTGCCCACATTCTATTGCATGATATGAATGCTTATATACACTCTGCTCAGGGTTGCATGACTTTCTAATACTGAATATATCCCAGAAACATTCAATTGTTGCAAGAATGTTACTGAATGTAAATGTGGGTGGTTACAGCCATATTTAAAATGCAAAGCCTTACTTCAACCATAATGAATTCACCAACCCATACATTAAGTCTATTCATACTGTCATAAATATGTATGCTGATATAGATATCACATTTGCACCTAGATCAGTAGGTCTTGCTGGGTGTGTGTGTCTGCATGTCTATGTGTGTGGTTCAGTAAACATAAGGTGGTGCGGTCTTTAAGAGAGAGAGGGAGAGAGAGGAGAGATGGAGCCTGGGAAGGGGTGATGTAATGTGTTCTCAGACAATGATGTCATCGACTGAGACACAGTGAGGATTTAAAGTGACAAAGGCTTTTTTTTTTCAGAAGCTCCATGTAATTCTGCGTCGGATCTCCTCAGAGAGCTGCACCCTAGAGCACATGTGGGACCCTTTCTCATTGCTAGGTTGGGGGGTTGAAACAGAAATTCAGCACTTGTTTGTGTATACCTTTAAAGATGTTTGAGCATGATTTTACACACAGCTTCTTTATTATTAGATCAGGAAATCTGAGATACAAAAACAGAACATGATTTCACAGTGATAAAAACAGGATTATGTTGCCAACAAAAGCAGACATTATATATATCATATGTATATTTATATATGTATATTAGAGGGATACTAGGAATGGAAGTGTTAGCACATAAATACTTGACAGCATCTGTATAGTTGCACGAGCACAATTTCATTTGAATAAATAATGATTTAAACCAAATGTCCTGCTATATATTCTTTATATTGAAAACATTCAACTTTATTTTTTAAAATTCTTCTGCTGTTATACAATGTGTTCCCATTTGACCAGTTAGGCCCAACTGCTGCTGTCAGAAAAACGCTCCTCTGGTATTGCCCAATGCACATTTGCAGTGCCTTGCAAACATTCTCACATCTCTTGAACTTTTCCTTGTTATTTGCCCCTCAACTTCAAGCTACAGTGTTTTATTCTTATTTTAGATGGAAACTAAAAATTAAGTGATCCAACACTGTCAAAGAGGAAAGGGATGCATGGTTTTCAGATTATGAGATGAAGGTTGTGTCCTTTTCCAGTTTAGCAAAATAGCTTAAACCCTGTCAGACTGGATAAGAAGCATCAGCTAAGAACAATTTTTATGTTTTACCAAATATCTTCGGAGAATTGACAGTAATATTCTAAGATTTCATGGTTAGCATAGTTTTCCTTTGCCTCCATCCCAGTCTTTCAAATTCTGTAATGGATTTCTGCATCCCCACTAAAGCATTTCCACAGCATGATATTGCCACCAACATTTTTCCATGTAGATGGTCTGTTCAGGGTTTTGCACATTGTTGGTGTTCTGCCACGTAGTGTTTTGCAGTGGCAAAGAAGTTTTTAGTTTGATCATAACGTATTCTTGTCATATTTGCTGCCTTCGATGCTTGTGATGAAGAGGAAGTAAAACTGTTTACAGTATGAGCATCTTTTATTAATGCCTCTATTTTCAACACCCTTTCATAAAAAACATCAATAAATAAAAATAATAGATTGGATGTTTGTGAAGTTGTCCACCAAAACAGATTTCTATGTCTTAGCTGTGGATCTCTTCAGGTGTCCTAGAGGTAAGATATTTCTTACACTTAAAATTCAAACCATTGATATTTTACTTCAAAACCCCCAGAACCTTATCTCAGGTTCAAGCTTGTTTATTTCAGACATAAAAGTATATAATAAAGACAGTATATGTCCATATAACATAAATTAAAACAGTCTGAAAAAGGGTGTATTGGCAGAAGCAAGAAACTTAAAATGCCCACCCTCCAAAGCCAATTTACATTGGACTAGAAAGCAAAGAAAAAAAGAAATAGAAATAGAAGGCTATCGTTTATAATACATACCACCGTATGGTTTTGGGAAAAATTATTATTCCATTATTATTATTTTACAATAATAACTTTTTTTTCCTAACAAACCCAATATATTACTGCTCTTAATTGCATTCACATGTTTCATATTTTTATTGCATTATTCTTAAATATGTTTTTCGACCTTAATGTTAATGTTGTACAATCTTTTAGCTCCTGATCTAATTTATTCCATACATCAACCCCAACAAAAGAAATACAATGTTATTTTACAATTGTTTTACACCACATCTCTGACCTATCTGAACTGTTTCTTGGTATTTATGAAGCTGTTTGTTCGTTCTCTCTACACTAAGGCTGACCCATACATGTGGAGCAAGCTGCCAAGGATGTTGGTTCAACAGGGGTATTAGAGGGAAGGGGATTAAATACAAATTGGTGTAATATCTTACAGAGTTTAAATAAAATTATATTTATGGTCTCTTTTATAATGGTCATTTACATGAAATCTGACTTAAACACAACAAAGGGTGTGGTTGGATTAGGGCAATATGAGAAAAAGCTCAAGCACATGTCCCTCTGAAACCCAGTTTACTGCATTTTTTCTTTGATCTACAAACTTGTCCTTATTACTGTCACTCTTGGCTTTCCAAAGGATGCACTCCGAGTTACTCTTCCTCCTTCAGACATAGTGCATGAAACACTGATGGCATGTCTGTTCGCTCGATCTTCCTCATCTGTCTCGTTCTCTTTACTTCCACCAAAACATTTCTTTATTTCTTCAGATCTCTCTGGATTTGCTTTCAGGTCTTCAGACTCTTTCATATCGCAGTGTTTCTCTTTTGTCTTGTTTTGGCCATGAACTGTCTGATCAAAATCCCTCTCCTGAACACAAACTCCAGCCACAGTTTCTAAGGCCTTTACTTCACCTTCTTGCCCTGACTTGTCTGATTGGCCTTGTTCTTTTAGACAACATGCTTTATCCACTGCCTTGCCTTGCGTTTCATTTATTACCTCCAGGGATTTGTTCTCAACCACTGTACCACGTTTGTCCAAAATCAAATGCTTACAGGGATCTTTGCTTTCTTGATTAGATGGTGTCACACCATTACCAGGTTGCACTGCTTCTTCAATTACCAATGCTTCTTCCTCTTCTTGCCTTGATAATGTTTGGTCATCACTCTTTATGTCTGAGTCTGAAATGCTGATATCACATGCAATCTTATAGAAGAGCGAATGGTTCTCTTTCATTTTCTGCAAGCTTTTACTCACTGTTGATGACATCCCATTAAGGTCAGTAGTGTCCTCAGTGCAACCTGGATGGTTGGCAGTATCCTCATTTTCCTCAATAGATAAAGGCTCTAATGCAGGGATCTGTAAAGGTATGAATCCTTGACACTGGTTTGTGGACAGGAACCACTTACTCCTCAAATAGGAGGGTTTATATTTCTTATCTTTATCTTCCGCAGTGCAATCTTCAGGCTTGTCCTGCTCTTCATTGTGGCAATCCAAAGATGCTTTTCCTCCATCTTGTTGGTAGACTGTCATGGATGAAATATGATATGGAGAAAGTGATCTTTTGTTTTTAATGTTGGCAACCCCTGCTCTCCCACTGTGCAATGATCTGTTCTCCACCTGGAACTGACTTTTTGATATGTTAACATATGCTTCATCGCAACCCTGAGATATTGCATTGTGAAGATCTGCTGATCTATTTAAGTCATCCAGACCACCATCATTTCCTGGAGATTTGAAAGAGGGAAGAATTAGCTGGTGACCCAGTGTTTTTCTACTTGTTTAGTTTTTTTCTTATATATGCGCAGGTACCTAGTTTCAATCTTTGTTCTTTAGCTATGTCACAGTGACCCTGGGGAACTTTCTTCTTCTCTTCCTTGACTGGATGCTGGTTGTTGATTGTAGCACTTTCTCTGGCTGCGCTAAGAGATGAACAACAAAGAATTTGTGGACAGTTGATTCTCTGTAGGATCTGTTTAGAAATATCTAATTTTATCTCAGAGAAACAAACCCACCTTCTCAGCACTCTTTCTCTTATTCGTTCCACTCGTCGTAGTTTAGCCTCTCGCTGCTCAGAGCTCTGACTAGGATTCACATCAGGGGCTGAAGACTCTTCAACAGCCTGTTTGGAAAATTTTTGAAATATAAAATAGTAGTTATATCTAAAAAAAAAAAAGCAAAATAATCTTTGCTTTTGAGTTAAAGGTATAGTGGAGGATTTTCGCGATTCTCTCGACTTAAAAAAAAGAACAAATGCACATTCCTGTACCCACTCCCTGGAGGGAACGTCTATTAAGCACGTGCAAGAGCATGCACAAGCCCATTTCCTTGTGCACCCTGTGTTTAAATACTGAAACAAGCCAGGTGCAAAAAGACTCACAGATACTTTAATGTTTAGAAATAATTTTGCACTCCCATTTAACTGTAATTGTTGGAGAAGGGGATTGTAACTCTGATTTCTGAAAAATGTCATATATTCAAAAGCATGTTATTTAGCAAGTGTTGAAATGCCCCTCTAGGAGATTTTTTTCATTTCTTATTCTTAATATCTTATTTTATGTAAGCCTTCCTCATGTGATAAATGCTAATGTTATTCTTCTGTTTGATCTGGTAGGGCCAAAAGATATATAAGGGTTGTTTTACCTTTTTACACCACAAGTGTACAAAATTTTGACAAAATGCAAGATTCGGTCACCTCAATTTAAAAAGACCCGTAACCTTTGATACTATTTAATGTTACAAATTTTTAAATGGGCTAAAATGTGGTCCTTTGCCTTAAGGTGTATGCATCTCCTGTGTGTCTCTAGATTTCCATGTCCAAGGGTCTTGCCCAAAAACAGTTTGAGATAGGTACTAGCTCCCTGGAATCCTGTGAAAATTAGGCAAATTTCAAAAAAAGGTAACACTCCTTACCTTATAATTTGAGCCTTCATGTCCACTTCCTGACTCTGTTGATTCTCGAACCTCATCTCTTAAGGCCTCTGTTCCTTCACTATTGCTCACTTCTAAAAGTGTCTCCATTTTTGGGCCCCTGGATGCTGCTTGATGTTGTCTGCTCATTCCTTTTCCAGATTGACCCTGATGCTGCTCAGTGATCGTTTGGTTTGATTCAGTCATATCCATAAGCAGCCGCCTGGCAGGTTTGCCGAGTAATTTCTTGCCTGGTTCAGCCGGTTGTTGCAGCATTTCTGGCTGAATTTGTTCAGGCAGCGGAGTGTTGAGCTCAGCTGGAGGATCCTCAACAGAAACTCTTCTGGCCACAAGCGAGGAGGGCAGCACAGCTGTTACAACTCTGGTCACCCTCAAGGGAAAGGGGGCCTGACAAATTAAAGCTGAATCATGAAATGTATACCACATAAAACGATCTTGTAAAAACACATATTTTGGGTCTAACCTCCTCTTTTATCCCTGAACTTTGATTCTGAGGTTCTTGGGCGGCCAGCTGAGGTTTCTTTTTACTAGACAGTCTCTCTTGATTTCTCTTCATCCTTTCAATCTGCTCTGCCTCGCTCATCTTCATTTTCATCCTCTAGCATATAGAACAGAAGATGTTTAAAATGCAAGTAATTTATAATCCCTTTACAACAGAAATATGCAATTGCTGTTTGAGATCAGTTTCTATAAATGTCATTAGAAACATGTTTAAATTGAATTGCTGCTTGCTCGCTTTAAAAAATGTATGACTGCAAGAAATGTGTATTCCTTCTATATGTAAAGGGTGGGGTGCTGGGGAACTGAACTGTAACACCATTGCAATGAGACATGAGCCTCTGCTGCCCTCTTTTGTTGAGAGTAGACATTGCAACATGCCCTAATTGCAGTAAATATGGGAGAACCAAAGAATTGAAATTTGGCTGTGATTGCAATACAAAAAAAAACAAAAAAAACTGCTTTTACTGGTTCTATATTTAGAGTGTCCTGGCCCACTTCACAGTGTAGCATGGCAGAAATTAAGAAAAATCAAACCTTTGTTGGTTGGTTGACCGTGTCTGATGATATCCACTTTGAACCAGATGGAGATTCTGAAGATAAAATGGAAATAGTAAACATTGGACAGTATGAAAAGGTGGGTATGATGCCTGAAGAAAACTAAACTGAAAATATGTGGATAGATAGCAGAACACCCTCACCCCTACAATTAACAGTTTAGGGTTTTGCAATGAATAACACATCAAAGACATAGGTACGCAGCACATTTTAAAAAGTGCCATGTTCTCTGTTAGCACAGACTGTGTTTGTTCCAACCAGTTGCATCTCTCTGCCCTTTCACATTGAGGAGGTCAGGTTGACAGTTCCCTCTTCTGTCAACAGGATCAGCAGAATGCTCATAGATCCCCTAAAACATAAAAAAACACATTAAAGGCACTGGTACATTTGGCTATGCAACTATTTTACTGAATAATGAAAAACACTTCCACCTCATATGGTGACTCTGGCCAAACATGGCTCACGTCCTGACTTTGGTGACTCTCTTGCAGCTCCAGGGGTAACGGTGGGCGGACTGGTGGCTCTTGTCCCAAATCCTGCAAACATTCATTGTGTTTCAATGAGGCAAAGTATGATGTAACAGTCACTGTATAAACACATGAGTATGGAACATGAATGCTGCTTTCTTCATGTTTGATTGTTCTGGATGTTGTTGCGGATGTTGTTGAAGGAACTTGAGCATTTTTAATACATATGGAGTTGTTTAAAGTTAAGTCAGGGGAAGCAAAGAGATGTATGACAATAATTAAGGGAAAACACATACTGGAAAACTAGAGAGAGGAAGTTTTTTAAAAGATAACAGGAAGGTTGAACAAAGAACAAAACTGAGAAAAAGTTTTAGCTTCTAAGATCCGTTAGATAATGCTAGATTTAGAAATGCTTCCAGAAATTCCTTATGATGAGTTGTTTTATAAACTACGTATATTCTGAGAAATATTCACACAAAAAAACAGCTATTTTAGTAATAGTGACCAAACAAAATTGATTTTTTTTTTCCACAAAAGACAGTAACAGCAAAATAACTTGATAATCACTTAGCATGTCAACATGGTAAATATAGCTTTTTCTTGGAATATAAAGAATTGTTTACTTTTTATGGTGGGAAGGCTATAACAAAACTTTTTTAGTACTTGATTACTTCTTTCTTATGTCCAGTCCCTTATACTGAAATCAGACCTGAATGCAAACAATTCTTGATTAGCAGGTCGTAGCTTCAGAAAAGCGAAGATCAACCACCAAATTATCACAATTATTCTGTTGCTATAATAAAACTAACATCGCCCTTTGTTGTTAGAACACTCTATACATAATTTGAGTTAAGAGCTTAGAAAACATCTGTGCACTTCATCATCTTTGTCAAGCTGACCCGTTAAACAATATCTATGGAAATGGTTTTCCTTTTTTTAATTTTGTTTTGATCAGAAGCAGACCATAAACATCAATGGTTACTGTTGGAGAGAGGTTACTATGGAGCATTACCATTGGCAGTCCAATGTGGAGCCCTTCCGTGGGAGAAGCAGAGGATCCAGTTGGCAAAAGCTGGAACACTGGAGACAGAAAAAGTGTCTTCCTTAACAAGTTTGGTCTGTTTATGTTTTCAGGTGCATGATAGAATCCATACCTAATCTAATTTTGCAAGTCTTAAGTAGCTGCATTGAACAGATAGTGGCATCTCTGATGTTATATTAAAAAAAACAAATCTCTGCAATGAAACAAACTCCAGTCTTGCTATTGCTTAACATCATAATTCAGAAAAAAATTAGAACGTTACTCAGTCTAAATTAATTAAAGGCAGTTCTAATTTAAACTGTTTAAGTTAATGTTAAGATTCATTTAAAGCAGATGTGGTCTGGACTTGGCAGGGACCCATCCTGGAAATTAATATTTTGGAAGTTTTTTGGGCTCCTTCTAGGATATTTAAAAGGGTTAGTTAAATGCACAAGTTGGACGCTTTTGTTTACTTCTATTTTGTTGACCTCTCTTATTCTGCCTCAGTTATATTTATATGAATACACACCTACATTTGGTCTAAATCTTAAACCTTAACGACTTTTATCCAACAGGCTTGTGACAAATTGCTTTTTGCATAGTTACCACGGCTCTCAGCAGTAGTGATAGAGTTGATCTAAATTTGGTTAGGATGAGGTGGGGACTTTTGGGAGGCCATTCTAACATCTCAAATGTCTTTATTTAACAACTGTGTTTTCCAATTGGGTTCATATTTCTGTTGCATTGTCTCCAAATTCAACACTGATTAAACAAAATGGAGGCAGTCATCCTTTAATTATTCAATTCACTTGGACCAAAATCACTGAAAACCTAACAAAACTCTCACCTCTGTGGTAAAATCACACTGTTTGACAGACAATGGCGTGTTAGAAAGTTTCAAAGCCCCAGTATGATTCCTCGAAAAATGCTTCTTGGCACTTTTCCTGGATGGTATTTGACTTTTTTTTTTTATGCACACAGCTGCAGATTCATGTTAAACTTTTTTTTTTATAGTTTTTTCTTTTGCCCAGCTTGTACTCCCCCAAGCTTAATGTGGCTTCATTTCAATGTGGCTTCAACATACTGGCCAATGAGAGAGTAAAAGTTTGACAGAAGATCATCAACAAATATCATTATTTTACTTTGCAATTCCCTTCCTGTACTCACTTTTTGTGAATAAAAAAACTAAACCTAGAATTTCTTCACATGAACTTAACAAAACATGGAACTACTGAAGGTTTTTCATGCTGCTAATAAGCTGCTCCAAGAAAAGCCCCTGAGTTTTCATACAGAGATAGCAGACGTGTTCTTGATCAGCAGCTAATCCTTACTGTGATGTGTCTGTAGTCCCAGCAGGAAGCAAAAATAATCCCTATTGACCTTCAGCCCATCAAGGATGTCCTCCATCATCCACAGCTCTCTCTGAGCCTGACACTGCTCCTGATCAGAAAATTAAACCTTATGAGACATCATGGCACACAGGAAACTTAAACATGATGATTAATTTTATGACTTCATAATGTTGCCACTTGCCCCTCAAACGGTATATTTTTTGTATTTTAACTGATGTCAATCCTTCAAGATCTAGATGCACATTTTAACAGAAGATAATACATCAGTTCAAACGTACCTGTGGAATTCCAAAGTTACAGATATGCTGAAGGTGTGAACGAATAACAGAGAGTTCGCTCTCCATCCTCTCATATTGACTCCACACACGCTCCATTTCCTTCATGTAGAAAAACAAGTATAAGATCATTGGCTCTCTATAGACACATGCAAACATCTTCTCTCTCTCTCTGATATGACAGTTTATATCTTTTGTTACTCACCAATGATACATCACAGACTCTGGCCCGGATTGTGACCAGCTCATCTTGTAACAGAGCCTTCTGCGTCAGTGCTTCTTCAAGGGCCCGTGGCCCCTGGTTTCTCCATTCCTCCACCTGGAGCCTGGATACTTCCAGTGCACACTGGACGCTATCCTGCAACAGATACACAACAATATCAAGCTTTTTACTATTATTTGTTCTTCATTTTTTCCCCAAAAAGGAAAATAAACCTAAACTAATTCCTATGTAATTTTTACGATTTAACTGTCTTTAACATTTGATATTACTTAATGAATATGTATTGATGAATATATATTAATATGCAATAGAATAGCATCAAGAGACAAAAAACATTGATTATTAACCTTATCCATCTGGAGCTGAGTGAGCTCCACTGACAGGGATTGCAGCAGCTTGTCACACCCACACAGGCGCGTTAACACAGCCTGAAACAGAAAAAGGTTAAGCTTTCGTCTACCAAGAAAAAGGTTAAATATCTTTAAAAGCTGCTTAAATGGGGAAAACTCACATCTGCATCACTTTCAAGAGGTCGTATCGTCTGCAGATCCCTCTGATCAGATTTAGAAGCCTGAGAAGAGTTGAAGTCATGGCTTTCATGTCATTCTTTAAAAGCAAGTATGTTAACACCAATACTTCATTTTGTGTTTTTACAGTTACTTCTTTATTTTCAAAACTAAAGTAAAAGATAAAAAAGACAACCTGGACAACAGGAGCTTTGCTTTCTATAATT